ATTAGAAAAATTTTTTGCATCATGACTGGTTTGATTTGGCGCTACTGCATTCACTATACTGTTCGGTTTGTTCCCCGTTTCTTTGTGGGCGGGTACTGCAGCAATTTTATGGGCGCTTAATAAGATATTATCTTTTTGTGAACTGGACGATTCATTGTTCGCACGTTCTGTTTCAGGGATAGTAGGATTTGAGCCACGTATAAGACATGCCTCTGAAACTGACAATACTGGACTACTGAGCTGATTGTTAAATTGCTGCTTTTCACGGATTCATAGAGGCTTTCCCCGTCATATTCATTCGTTCTGCAATCGTTTTCCAGCTCTGTACGCAATTTTGAAATTAATGCGTCAACTTCCGTTGCACCCCCAAAGCATGGGTGATTCAGCAGCTTTGCATGTAACTTGTCAATGAATTCCAATTGACTCTTTCTAAAGCGCTGCTCTTGTCGCTGGATTAGCAACTGAAATTGATCGGAAGTTAAAGCCATTTTTTACCCCGTCGCCAGTTGTTATATCGTGTGCACTCGTAATATATATGAACGTGCAATTAGAGAGGTAGTGGATTTATTGATCGGACGCAAATGATACTTGAAATCGTACGAGCAGTCTTGGGTGCCATTCGGTCCTTCCTATCTGCCTAGCCCAGCCAGTTGAGTGCAGAACACAAATAACAGCCTCGGCAATATGAATCACTATTTACAAACATACTGGATTTTATACAAACCAAAGTATTCAATAAACTGATTATAACTCAGGAATCGTATGATAATAAATCAAAGATTAAAATAAAGCTAATGATAAGAGAAACAGGTATATGAATAGTTTAGTTACGTAATAATTGTACAATAGGAAATAGGCATAATACATTGGTCGATAATAGACCTCAGATTTACCATTCATAATTCACCAGGGGATATAACACCTCCTCTTTTTGAGAAATCCGGATTTTTAATTTCTCGAATTCCTCCTCCCCCACGAAAGACCATTGGATATAACAAAATGCGAAATGCAATTATCTGGAAGACATTGCGGGAAAAGCATTCTCCACAATTAACGAACTTATTGCAAAAGCAACCATGCTGGCACATCAGGACTCTCATGCAGCCATTAGTATCGCAGTAGACGCATCCGACTCAGCAATCAAAGGGTCTTACAGCAGTCGGTTGACCACTCTGCAACCTTTGGCATTTTTCTCGAGACGGTTGCTAGACACTTAGTCGAGGTACAGCACTTTCGGTAGGGACTTCCTAGCTATGTATTGTGCTGCACGGCATTTCCAACACCTTATCGAAGGCAAAGAATTCACCCTTTTTACCGATCATGAACCTCTTACCTTCTCTTTAAGCTCATCCTCATTCAAGTACTCATCTCGAGTGTCTCGACAACTGGACTACACTTCGCAGTTTACTTCAGATATATAACACATTTCTGGAGCAAACAATGTAGTTGCAGACGCCTTGTCTCGTATAACTTCTTTGAACATTTTCCAAAGAGTCGACCTTCTGAAACTTGCCCAGATTAAAAAAGGAGACACCGATTTTCAGCACCAGTTATCCTCAACAACTATAAAACTGCGTATTATACAGATGGAAATAGGTAAGGAAACCTGACTATGTGACACATCGACAGGTAGGGATCGCCCAGTCGTGCCGAAACATTATCGACGCAGCGTCTTCAATACGTTGCACAAACTTTCTCATCCAGGTGTTCATGCATCCATCAAGCTAACAGCAGAGAGGTTTTGCTGGGCTAGTATGAATAAAGATGTGAGGGAATGGGTACGCTCCTGCGTAAACTGCCAAAAATCTTAGGTAATTAGACACAACAAACGTCCCTTAGGCTCATTCAAAACTCTTGATGCTCGTTTCGAACATGTTCATCTGGATTCGGTAGGACCTTTACCAGATTCAAATGGATACTCTTATCTTTTAACCTGCGTAGACCGTTTCACTCGATGGCCAGAAGCAGTGCCTATCAAGGACATTACCTCTGAGACAGTGGCTAGAGATGGGTAGCGAATTTCGGCTGCTCTCCAACCATCACTACAGACCGCCAACGCCAGCTTGAATCTGGACTTTTCCGTTGTCTGACCACACTATTAGGAATCACTCGCTTTCGAACGTCCACCTACCACCCACAAACAAACGGGTTGGTAGAACGCTTTCGCCAACAAATAAAAGCTTCGCTTTCAGCTGCAAACATTTCACAGTGGACCAATGCTCTCCTACTCGTCCTACTAGGTATTCGTAATGCAGTGAAAGCTGACATTGGATAGGCTGCAGCACAGCTAGTTTATGGGACGACACTGACTTCCAGGAGAATTCGTGGATCCTTCATCTTCTTCAATGAACATTGATCTGAACTCCTACAAGAGCAGGCTTACAAACGTTATGCGTTCAGTCAAACCTGTTTCCACCCGACCTCAATCAACTAATGTTTGCGTTCAACCTGACTTACGATATAGTACTCATGTCTTCGTACGTCAAGACTCACATCCACGACCCCTGGAATCAACGTACGAAGGACCCTTCAAAGTTCTTCAACGTGAACCTAAGTACTATATAGTCGATAAAGACGGCACCAACGACAACATCAGTATCGATCGGCTCAAAGCAACGTATCTAGAAGAAAATCCTACCCATGTCGATTTTCCTTCGGTACGATCGAACGACTTGGCTCCTACACTTGTAATACCTCATCCGACAGCCAAAACGCATGTTGATAGTTCGATAGTATTTGAAAATAAACTTAAAACAACGCGTTCTGGAAGGAGAGTAAAATTTCTGGAACATTTAAACGATTATTACACGTAAGACACCAGCTTTATCTCGATTTTCCTTTGTATCATATATAATAGTAAAATTTTATATTCTTATACTTATATATTTATTCCAAAAAATTTTTTTATTAATAAGCGTATAGTTGAATTTGTAAAAAAAATTTTTGAATCGCTTTCACGCTGTCGCAAGCGTATTAGTTTACTTACCTTTTTCCGCTCGCTTTGTGTTTTTACGCAAATACGACTGTATTGCGACATGCACTTACACATTCTATTTTTTCTTTTTCAGGACGGCTGGAAGAGAACGATGAAGTTTATCAAGAATCGATATTTCGATTGTACTTTGTCTTCCTATTACTATACTGTATTTCATGGCCCGTTATAGTAGGGAAAGACGACCATACGCTGCTAAACATAGCAAGCAGTCAGAAGAGTGTTTACCAAAGACAAACTCGTAGAGCTTAAACTTCTGGCTGGTCACGTCGTAGGGTCATCACTACCTCACTAGAGGAGGTAGCTGTAAATAAGTGTTCGACATTGGATTTGATGGACTCATTTAGCTGAAGACGTTCGGTCATGCATCCGCACCAGATCACGGTTTGGAACGGTGTGCGCAACATTTCCTGCGATCATTAGCCAGATTAGATCAGTCAGCTCTTGATATTGATAACCCATCAAATATATCTTCTGACCTCCTTGCATCTGACCTTTGATTTCACTGAGTGGGCGCGATTCGATTTTTGAAGGTGTTACTGGTATAGTGTTGTCAAACTACAATACCTGTGGTATCTTCATTGTCATAAATTTACATGATGGTACATTGGACTTAGATAATACAACAATTAGCTATATCAACCTGTCAAAACGGTCTAACACGCCACATGAAAAACAGAATTAACCTAAAGATAACTAGCTTGTTGCTTCAGAAAACTACTTAAATGAACGATATTTACCCATATGACAAACGACAAGTGTCCGGCGAGCTACATGGCCGTTTAACCCGTATGTGATTTGTGTTAATAATCAGGAACCCATTTGAATTGGACCGAAATGGCGTGACCCCATAGATTACGTCAAATTCACCCCCATGGTTAATACGTAACCTGGGTTATCCATTCGTCGTATTCTGGTACTGCAGCTGCTTTGATGACCGTATACAACAAATACGACGATATTGCAGAAGAGCGTTAGTGATAGAGGAATTCCATAACGTGTATTTAATTGTTGCGGGACAGCTATCCTTGACTGTGACGACGATTGGTAAAGTGTTCGATATTTAGTGAGCTGATTGCCGAATAATTTGGCCGGGGTCCAGTGACACTTCACTGGGTCTAGAAAATTCATGTACCATTAAATTTGTCGACTGACTTGTAACTTTGTACTTGACAGTACGAATAATTATGAACTTTTACTCATGTACAATATCATGGTGTTATTGTTTACCTTGTTTGTATGAGGAAATCTTAGTTTACATCAGTCTCACAATAAACGGATACACCCTTCGTGTAATTATCGCAGTCCACATGTTCAATCCATTGTGTCAATGTTTGAAATAGATTACTGCCTACTTATGATCTGACACAGTTGGGAATCGTCGTAACGGAGGTATTCCAGACTAATAGTGTTACGAAGTCATACGGAGTAATAATGTATGTGATTCATTTCAGATCTACTCACAGAATAGATCACCTGGACAATAAACGTCACACAATAATAGATCTGCGAGAATATAACGATTCACAGGACTGAAAAGGTTTTTTTATCAGATGCTCCTCATTTTGAGTCACTCCATTAAGGCACATAACTCCCTGCTTCAAAGTTTTGAATAGCTCCTTTCGTAGGCTCAACAAAATCATGGTCAACTGGGCGACTTTCAGTCTTCATGAGGTTGAATTCAATTAAGTGACAAAAGAATTTGGATAACGCCAAAGACATACACATATCCTATATTTAATTTCCTGTACATTCTATCGACTAATCAAGTTAACACAATGTAAAAATGAAAAGTTGAGTACAAGTAAGACTGAGTATGAGTATATTTCATACGTGCACGTTAAAAACAGACGAATAATGAGTAACATTAGAACATAGACATTAGTATTTTGTCAAATTCAGTTTGTACAGAGTGACTCACCTTTTATATAGGGTGAACACTGTGTAACTGGGAGTGTACGTAAGAAACGCACACATAAATCAAGTACAAATAAAGACACATGTGAGTATGAAAAAATATCACGTGTATGAACGAAAGAATAGCTGGAGAGATTTGGCTGGTCTACCTGTCCGTAAGTTAAAATAGGTTAACAAACGCTGTATAATAAAGAGTCTGATGCAAATTCCGGCAAACTAACGTAGAACTCTAACAATATCTTCACCAGCCAAAAGTGAAACTACCGATTATTTGACACTCTCTGACAGACGTTTAATTACGTTCGAAAGTTATTCAGGTCAGTGTATTTTTAAATTGCTATTCTATACACTTGGAAAATATTTCTTTGTTTCCCGATCTCATAATCTTCTGCTGCGATATCAATCACATTTTCGATCAAATAAGTCTAACAATTAGACCGTTATTTCACAGAGGTGAAGAAATCCCACTTTTTGACCAACTTCTTGTTCTGAAACTTATGTTGTTTGTTTTTAAGATATTGTATAAGACCTTGAGTTAGCCTCGTTGTTTAGGCGGGAGAGTTTTGCAGCGATAAAGTGGGTTGAAATGGTTGTCTTCACCCTCTTTTTATTCTTGCCAGATTTCTTTTCTACTTATGCCATAACTCTAGACTGCTTCCATTGCAGTCTTACGAATATCATTGACTGGTATAGCTACAATGTCTCAAACTGATATCAACAGTTACAATTCTCTCTCCAGATGTACTGTCGTGGGCTTCTGTGGTTGTCTTCAAACAAACATAATACCGCTAAAATCCAAGTACGAAATATATAGAAACTGCCATAACAGTTGTTTAACTTTCGACGTCATCACCGGTTCAACGTTGAACGAAATCCTTTTGCTTCATGACTTGTAGTTCTTTGCTATACGGTTAGGAAATGTAATTGATATGTGACTACTTTGTGCGACTTTTGTCGTCTGAAAGAAAACAGTGACTAATCAGCGGGACATTTTGCTGTCTCAACTTTGGGTGTTTCATTTTCCCCTCCGGTTATTCTACTTGTAAGTTGAGTTAATTCGCCGTTTTAAACCGGCATATACATTATTCAATCCAATTTACTTATGCAACTCATTTCAGACAGCCGTATTGCTGGGATTCAGTTTCTGATCTTACCACTTAAAACTTATTTTGTCGCAGATCTATAAACTTGGTCAAAGTCGGTGAACCATTCGTTGCCCCCTTATGTCCTATATAGGCTAAGCTCAAAACACCTTCAGACTATTAAGCTTCCATCTTTTCCAGTCCCGTTGAGAAATGGGTCAATGCCCCCAATAGTTCACCATATATAACAATCAAAATTCGAACTCTTGTAACAAAACAATTTGTTTCTAATGCATGAAAGTAGGGAATAGTCACGCGAAACACCAATGTCTTCATAAAACTAAGTCGAACAAAGTCTTCTTGTGGATGCTAGGTAATCTTTACCATCCTCTTGGGAATCATGCCGAAAATTCTTAAGCTCCATTCAGAAATGCATTGAACAAAACGAGTTATGTTTGACCATTGTTTCATCCTTCAGATTCTCAAGGGAATATATGTTGCCTACACTTCTTCATTTTAGCACAATGGATCCAGCCAAATTGCGGAATTTCAGAGTTGGTAGAGCTCTTAGAGCTATGGGAATCGCAACTGTTGTGTCAACTGTGGTGACGGGAGTCGTCGTGTATATGTATACTAAGGAAGAGATTTCAACTATCAGGAAATTCTACCAGTATTTTTCTTCTTCCTAACAATTCATTTTTAGTTCTTACGACCCTCAGTTGGAATGGAATGTTTTATTGAATTCTGGAATATTGAAAACTGTCAACAAAGATGGAAGCCTTGTCGATTTGGAAGACTAAAATTGTGTAGTCCTACTAATGCATGTAATATGCCTATAAATTTTTGTTTTGAAAAAAATTGTTTAGCAGACAGACGTATCGACTTCTTTTAGGTCAGTCCGTCATATTCAACTTAGAATACTGAATAAATGTGGATCTACCCAAGTTGCCGCAATACATCATAGTAAGTAGAAAAGTGAACAAGATCGAAAGCAGGGAAGTTGGGATGACATTAAGGAGTTATATGTGTACAGAATATGTTAAGACCCAAAATCTAGAAAAAGCAATAGCAATAGCGATTGATTTGGAGCCTTTTTACCTAAGTTATTCTGCTAAAAGTTGTGATTATCTCACAGAAACAAGAAGCTTGCTCCTCTTGAAAGGTACTTAGTTGATACCTTCATTGTCAAATCCTATTATCATGGTCTCTTTCAGCCTATTTTTATACTAGTTTAGTCACACTTCCAGTTTATGGGATAGCAGCAATATTGAGTTGTCCAACTTAAAGTAGGCAAAGGGACCGGAAAATTCATCCTAAGAAGGATATTTTTAGTGATGATGCTCTGGTACGACCGAGGGTGGGGAAAGTCCGCCATTTCTCTCGAAATGCTCTTACGTGGCCGCTGCCTGGGAAGTCCTACTCACTGCCCTCTCGCGGCTGGGATGTTCACGAAATTGAGAGGGCGAATTTCTGGTGGACACGGAGGATCCACCAAGGGGAGTTGGTAAACCTTGACTCCAAACCAATAATGCACATGGGCTCCAGGATCCTGAAGGAACAAATGGCGTATAAACCTATTGTTGGTCACCAGCTACCACTGGACTGCATCTGCTACCGGTATTCCACTGCCTTGTGGAAAGAACGTTCGAATGGTAGTCGGTGCGGAAGCCAAAATGATATTGATTATAACGATTCAACTGAAGTTGGCTTAGACTGGTTACTTGGATATCGTCGATTAACTTTAAATCAAAATCTTATTGGAGGTGGTATCCACAGCAGTATTGGTGAGAATAACAACACATGTACCAATTCTTATACTTTACATGGCTTAGATTTAACCTATAATAACTATATACCACTATTGATTGATCATTCACAATCATCATCTACTGCATCAAATAACACTACTACTAATCTTAATACCACCAACAATAGCCCGAAGGTTGCTGCTACCTTGACGTGGTGATCGGGCTTGCATATCGTGATAAAGCAATCGAGCTATGCTGGCTGGAACAATCGTTCCTCAAGGTCCTACCATGCCAGACAGGTCGGTTGAAGAGCGGTGAGACTAAAAGCAGCAAACCCAAGGTCCGAAGTCGTACTGTCGACTGTACAGAGGTGTGACGGCAGTAAGGTGTTTCCTTCAGACAACCAGCATGACAGCGATGCTGCCTTCCCACAAGGAGGGGTGGGGTTAGAAAAGGTCGGCCCTAAAAATGCACACCTCGCCTTATCCCACGGATTTCCGTCTCCGGCGGTAAGGTTTTTTTTAAGAACGGAGCTAACACAAAAAGGTCGTGTGTGACCGACCTCAAGCAGTTGTCCCTTGGGCACTGCGGTCACGCTCTCAGGTCATTAAGACCACTTCTAACCCAATTTCCTTTTCAGGTACCTATAGAAGAACCCTTCCACGGTGTGGGCAACCGGGAAGTGATAACTGCCCTCATACCTCTAACAGCGCTCAAGACCACCGTATTCATAATCAATCTCCTTCTTCAATTCCTACTATTCCTTCTACCTTGACTTTCAACACTAAACTTCCTCTCTCGGTTTCCTCCTCAAGTGCCACCATGGCCAACGATTCTAGTGCGCGAAACGCTGTTACAGGTCTACTAAAACCTCGTTCCAAACTACACATTGGAGCCTTCAACGTACGTACCCTATGCCAAATCGGTCAACAGGCCTCCTTAGCTAAAACCCTAGAATCTCGTACCATTGATGCATGCTGTGTCTCCGAAACACGCATACAGGATCCCAGTGTGGTCATTCACTTGACCTCACCTCGCCAAAATGGACAGCCAACGAAATACACCCTCCGTGTATCTGGCGACCCGTTGGCTAGTTCTCGCGGACTTGCAGGCGTAGGCATAGCACTAAGTACAAGGGCAGAACAGGCACTATTAGAATGGATCCCCGTTAACAGTCGCCTGTGTGCTGTCCGGCTGAATGGCTCCGCAAGAACTCAAAAGGATAGAGTCACACGTCGTTGCCTTTTCGTCGTTTCTGCCTACGCTCTCACTGACTGCAGCCATGATGAAGTGAAAGATGACTTTTACAGAAAACTCTCTGAGCTTTTTCAGAAAGCTAAGTGCTCAGACATAGTAGTCGTAGCGGGTGACTTTAATGCCCAGGTAGGCAGCTTGAATCAAACAGAAAGACATTTAGGTGGGTGTTTTAGTATTCCGGCTCAACGAACCGATAATGGTGATCGTCTGTTGCAACTATGCTCAGACAATCGTTTATTTTTAGCAAGCACTAATTTTAAACATAAGGAGAGACATCGTCTAACATGGCGACCACCTGCACCAAACTAACGATGGATTCAAATAGACCACATTGTCATCAGTCATCGTTGGAGAGGCTCAATAGAAGATTGTCGCTCCTATTGAAATACTTGATTAGACTCTGATCACGCTTTAATACGAGCGCGCATTTGTCTGCGCCTCAATGGACGCAGGAAAAGTACACTAAGAAGACCCATTAGGATTGAACTGAAGGACGAGAAAGCCAAATGCGAATTCCAGAAACAACTGAGTTCACATCTAGGCAGTTCTGTAAACAAGACTGACACAGATGCTGCTTGGAAAGACATACGAACAGCTGTGGAAACAGCAATTACATCTATTAGTCATTTAAACCATAGGGCTCCAAAAAACCAGTGGATTTCTTCTAAGTCTATTTCACTGATGGATTCGCGTAAACTCATCCCATCAGGCTCTGAACATGACGAAGAGCGTAAACAGATCAGATCTAGGTTAACTAAAAGTCTAAGGAACGATCGTGAGCAGTGGTGGGCAACGAAAGCAAAAGAGATGGAAAAGGCAGCGGCTGTAGGGAACACCAGGCAACTATTCAGACTAATAAAAGAAACCGGAATTAAGAAGTCAAGTGTAAGTGAGACAATCTCCGAAAAAGACGGAACCCTTATCTGCTCTCAACCCAAACGTTTAGAACGATGGTCGGAACACTTTAAGGAGCAGTTTAGCCGGCCTTCAGCTACTGCACAACTACCCACTATTCCTAGAAAACCTGAATGGAACATTGAAGTAGGCCCCCCGACCCTACTTGAAGTTCAAAAGGCTATAAGTAATCTGAAACGAGGAAGAGCAGATGGATTGGCTCCAGAGGTCTTTAAATATGGTGGTCCGATTTTAGCGATTAGGTTGACTAATATTCTGGCTAAAATCTGGGAGACGGATGTAATCCCATCCGACTGGTCACAATCACTGATTGTCCCAATATATAAAAAGGGGTCAAAATCATCCTGCGATAACCATAGAGGGATTAGTCTGACCAACATAGCATCTAAAATACTAGCCTCAATAATTATCGGGCGCCTAACTAAGACTCGTGAACTGCAAACACGAGAAAATCAGGCTGGCTTCAGACCTGGTCGTGGCTGTATCGACCACATATTCACCATTCGTCAAGTTTTAGAGCACAGACACGCTTATCGGCGTCCGACAATGATAGTTTTTCTTGACTTGAAAGCAGCATTTGACTCTGTAGACCGAGAGGTTCTGTGGCAGTGTCTGTCATTGAAAGGTGTACCTGAGAAGTACATAAACCTTGTGAAGGCTCTTTACTCGAACACTACCAGTCGAGTGAGAGCTTATGGCGAACTGTCATATGATTTTACAACCTCAAGTGGTGTCCGTCAAGGCTGTCCACTATCCCCATTTTTGTTTAACTTCATTATAGACCTGTTGCTGGAAATAACACTCTCTTCGACTGAATTTACAGGAATTGATCTCCTACTAGGGGGGCCACTAAGCGACTTAGGATACACAGATGAAGACGCTGGCAAAATGCAGAGTCTTCTGTTGGAACTCAGTAATAATGCCAGGATGTTTGGGATGCGATTCTCCCCATCCAAATGTAAATTGTTACTCCAGGACTGGCCTGCATCAACACTCGAACTAAGGATAGGGAGTGAAGTAGTCGACAACTTCACTTATCTTTGAAGTCTGATCAGCCCTAATGGGTTGGTGTCTGACGAAATCTCAACACTGATTCAAAAGGCTCGTTTGGCTTTTGCCAACTTACGTCACCTATGGCGAAGACGAGATATCCGTCTATCAATTAAAGGACGAGTATACTGCGCAGCAGTTCGCTCTGTTCTACTTTACGGTTGTGAAACATGACCATTAAGAGTAGAAGATACTCGTAGGTTACTAGTATTTGACCACAGATGCCTTAGAAATATTGCACGCATCTGCTGGGATCACCGGGTAAGTAATAGTGAGGTTAGACGCAAGGTATTAGGGAACGATGGTAAATCAGTTGATGAGGTGATGAATCTTCATCGACTGAGATGGTTGGGCCATGTGTTACGTATGCCTGAACACCGATTACCACGACGCGCTATGATGACTAGTGTAGGGGATTGTTGGAAGAGAGTTAGGGGCGGCCAAGCAAAAACGTGGCATCAGTGTTTGAAGTCACTAACTTCTAGTCTGAGCCATGTTGGCAGATGCAGACTACCTGGTTGGGGTCCGCGTGACTATCGTAACCAATGGTTGGAGACTCTAGGTGACATGGCTCAGAATCGATCACAATGGCGTAGGTGTATACACTCTTTATCTTCCCTTAAACCTTGAGACTAAAATTGCTTCATAACTTTCTTCCTTCCTGTACTATATCCTTATATACAACCTATAATTTATATACTACTACCACCACTAAATTAATTACTTCTATGAATCCAGTGTTCATCTTGTTGTGCTAACGAGATATGGCAACTTGGACCGATACATATATGTGCCTGGTCCTACGTTGTAGCTGACTGACGGTGCGGTACACCAGGCTATTAAGTTTGAAAGATTTAAGACAAGTTATGGTTAACACTCAACCGTCCTATGACTCGCTAAATAGCCATTTAATAGTTTACAGGTGAAGCACGATAGCTGTGCAAAACTTTCGATTGGAGTAATATGCTGTTGCTGACTCGGAGATTTAAGTCG